ACCGCCTCTGGAGCTTTATAGGGCAATCATAAATCCAGCTCACGGGTTTTCGATCAGAAGGGGGAAAACAAAGTCCTATGAGTAATTCAGAACGTACTCAGCACTCTCTCTCTCTCTCTCTCTCTCTCTCTTTTTAAAGATGGGCAATGTTGGGTGAGAGCAGGGGAACGATAATTTCTGTCTCACTGGGCGCTTCTTCTCTTCTTTGCCTCCCGCCCCCGCCCCTTCCCGTTTCTTGGAGAAGACTAGCATAGCCTTTGCTGCTGATGCTGGTCGGCTGGAGCTAAGAAATTAGCGATGATTAAGAAGAGGCCAGCATCACCTTAATCCCTTTCCTGCGATTGCCCCAGGATCCACGACCCTCCCCAGGGTTTTCTATGAGCGGTGTTGTGGGGGAGGGAGCTCTCTGTTGAGTCAGGGTTACTGTAAAGGATAAACAGAGACCGAGAGGAGGGGACCACCCTGATCATGGAGTTTCCTCACTCCAGTTTCTTCATCCAGTTAGAAGCATCCCCCAAACCACCTGGTTCGAACACAGCTACCTGGTACCACCAGAGGAAAGGGGTCCCATCTCTCTTTCTCTGAGTCCCCTCCCTTGAGGAAGGGAAATGAGATCTACGTGATTGATCATGTCTGAAGGTTAATAACACGCACGAGTGCCACTCTACACGCCTGGGGAACTCGAGCGTGGAGATGGCTCCCGGAAGGCAGGACAGTACTCCTTGTCCTGGCCCACTCTTCTCACTCCTTTTCAATTTCAATTTCAAGGCGTTTAAAGATTCTTTCAGCAATATTTAAGCGTCCTGCTGGCTGGGTGAAGTCCCCCGGCATAAAAAGGCGGTAACTGGAAAATTTCCACCAGAGGGCGCCAAACACCCAGAGACCCTGTGCTGGCTGAGGTTTTTCCTGGCGCGCCCCAGACAACACCTGGAGATGCCCGCCAAGCTCTGTAACTCAATGGCCTTTTCAAACCTTCCTGCAGCTATCTGACTCTTTGCGGGTAAAACAAACCTGATCTGTGGGTGTGTCTGGGTGATGGGGAGTACTCAGTGATCGCTTTACTCGTTTTCGCAGTGATTTCCCTCACATTTCGGTGCAGCAGACAGGGTTTATTTATGCGCACGTCTGGGTTCCCCATGGTTTACCCCAGGCCTGTCCCTTTTCTGTGGTTATCTTGTCAATTTTCATCACCAAGCAACGGAAACATCAAAAATTGTATGAATCACCAAAATTTCTGTGAGGGTGCTCTACAAGTCAGGACTGGAAGATAACGCGTGTTCAACAAAAGAGACTGAAATAATAGAGTTGCTCCTGCTACCAAAGAAAATACTGTTGCTTTCTCTCTGCCTCACAGAAAAAAAAGTCCCTGCACCTTTTAAGGATAAAAAGCACCCGAAGGGTGGATTGAGCCATAACCGACCTCCCACCATGCCACAGCTCCCGAATGTGTGTGTGTGTGTGTGTGTGTGTGTGTGTGTGTGTGTCTGTTCCATGAAGGAGATGTCTTCTCAAACCTCGCACCTCATGGCTTTTCAGAGTATCTTGAAATTGTGTATGAGGAGGTGAACTTCCACGCTCCCTTTTCCGGTCTTCGTTAAAGGATGCAGTGACACCAATCAGGACGCTGGGTGCCACTGCTTAATCACTCAAGACCCACGGGCCGGAAGGGAGGAAGCAGCAAATCCTCCTGAGCCTAAATGCCTACAATTCTGCTGAGGTGCGGGCCTTCCTCGGTCTCCCTAACCTTCCTCCAAGACGCCCTGTAAAAGAACGTGCCTTCGCTTCACCTGTGGCACTAGATGGAGAAATTTTCAGCCATGTCTGTCTTTGACCACAGAACTGAAAGACCTCACTCTTAGCGCGTTAGCAAAAACAACCATGTTGGAAAGAAAGGATTTTTTTTTTTTTTTTTACCACAGCAGATACCGCAAATTAAACCAGGCTGGGTCTGTCGTTGAGGTGCCCCCGCTTCCTCTACTCTCTCCTTTGTGGTGGGGAGGAAAAGAATGAAGGCTCCTGATTGTCTTTAGTGTAAGATCGTATGAATAGTAGTGATCAATCGAACGTGTGTTAGCTACCTTTTAATTTGTATTATCTTTACACTGGTGAGGATGGTATCCCGGTGAGCCAGGGAGAAAGGTAGACTGGGGGACTCACGATTGAGTTAAACTCTGATTTTCTCCTACTGCAACTCAAGATTCTTAAAAACGGAGGGTCTGGAGATCCACTCAGTTGTGAAACATCGAGTTTTGAGGCAAGGGACAGACTTCAGCACCGAGGACAGCGCCATCGTTAGGGCCTGGCCTGGGTATTCACTGCACGTGCTCGGCCAGCCCCCTGCCTCTGCCCCAGGCTGGGCCCCACCTGCATCCCTCTTGGTAGTTACTGTTGTTTATTTTGCCTGGCGAGGGGTTGTGCGGTGGTGGATTTCTCCCCACTCCTTCCTTCTCCTCCTAAATTTGGACGGGTGATAGCTGTCCTTGCAATTTGGCTTTTCAGAAGCAGTATTTGACTATTTTTTATTTGTGGTTTTCATTCTTTTTATCTTAATACTCCCAGGGGGGTGATGCTTACAAGAATGGGGCTGGGAAAACAAAAACAAACAAAAAAAAGACTTCCTCTCCAGGGACTTGAACCGGAGGTGAGGGGTGGTCCGAAAGGGTGTAGTGTCCGGCCAGCTGTTTCGTTCACATTTTGATCTGAGAATAAGCTCTTTGAAGAAATAGGAAAGCAACGCTCTAAGGCACAAAAGGGCTGGGAATACCTTCGGCTGTGTTCTTTCTCCCTCCTCCGGGCGCTGGGGGTGGCGGCCGGCTGATCACCTTATTCTGTCTACCGAGGACTGCGTTCCCTAGGTCAACAGTGACAGACAGACACTGACATTCTCCGCCCACAGTGCTCTTTCCCCGGGACATTTAAAGATACTCAGAACGCGTTTGCGGTCATGTTTTTTTTTTTTTTGAAAAAAGGAGGGGGGATCAGATGGGAGGAGCATTCGGCATGAAAGAGGCTCCCCAACCCGCTTCCGGGGAGATTCCCATCCCCCTTTTGCTTAAAATATTTTCTGTCAAGGTGACTAGATAAGAAACGTCAACCGATTTTGACGCTCTTCGCATGATTAGCTTCCAGGAACGGTAATTTAGAGCTGTGATTTTTGCTTCATTTTAGCTGGGTCATAAAGGTCTATTTAAAGTATTTAAATTATGATTAAAAAAGAATAAGAATGGAAAGGGGAAAATGGCAGTGCTCGCGTTTAATCGTGTCTCCCAGGGGAACTAGGGAGGTGGTTTTAAGTCAGACCGCAGGTCCCTTCGGGTATGTCGATACTTTAAAGGTAGATCCTCGAGTCTTTCTGGACTTTCT